CTTTTCGTTTCTGCACCAGGTCGTCCCTCACTGACTGCCTGACAAATCGTGCGATGATGGGCGGTGGTCGCGGGTCGTCCTTCTTCGCTCTTCGACGCTGTACAGTGTCCAGGTCATCAAAATTGAGCTTGATTCCCAGGCCAGCCCCAATACTTGTAACCAGGGCTGCAGGGGTCTCACCCGCTCGAACCGGAATGCCCCGAATCTCAAGCGATCTATTAAGAAGGCCTTGCTCCGCTTTATTTAGCCTGACCTCCAATTCACCTACCTTAGACTTGAGGGCTTTATTTTCAGATATAATTTCCTCAAAATGTTTCGCTTGTCCCTCTAAATGGTTCTCAATTTTTGTTAACCTTGCATTTAATTCAAAGGTCAGGTCTCCGTATTTGTCCAGCGCTGTTTTAATATTTTTTATTTCGGTGTTAACGTGTTTTTCAACCCGCTGTACTGCCGCCAGAATTTCTGACGGTGTTGGCTCGGTGCTGCGACTTTGCTTCGGGTTTTCACCACCTGCTGCAAACTTTTTTGCTTGATCGCAACTGTTACATGTCCATACTTTATTCGATGATTTTTGCGCCTCGAACTCTTTATCGCTAAGTTTACAGCATCTGCTATGGAATAATAATTTGCATTTAGCGCAACATAAAATATTTTTTTCTTCGCGACTGATGGTGCTGCTGCATACCGGGCATTGAGCCATATTAATATGAAGTAAATAAAGTTTACTTACAATAACACGATGTGTTGTTAAGATCCCTAAGCCCAACAGCAGTGCTTAATCCTACAGAGCACAGTTGTTTATCACAGTCCCGTGGCTTGTATTAGTTTATATTACTTAAATACGTTCCCTTTTCGAGGAACCGTCAGGAAATACGAGCTGTTAATTTTATCTATGGTTATAGATTTAACGAGATAAAAAAGAAAGAAAAAAAAAATTCAAAAATCAACGCAACTTAAACGAAATAAAACACGTGATAATACAGAGGATGTTAACTGATGGCTGCCTCTGACCAGACTGATGATATATATATATATATATATATATATATATATATAATATATATATATATATATATATATATATATATATATATAATTTACCACAAAATGCTTATTATGTAAGTAGAAATTTATATTATTGCATTTTACTTACATTCTCGGGGATGTAATATATATGCGAAGAAGAGCATTAAGTTGAAGACTTTAAAACAAGTTTCATTAAAACTGCTTCTGCCGTTTTGGAATTATGTTTATCGAAAAATACTTTTTTCACTTATTACGTCCTGTTTGGTTCATAGGCCATTAGGAATAATGTATATATATATATATATATATCGATATTAATATTTGACTATCGAAAACCAAATTTATATATATATATATATATATATATATATATATATATATATATATATATATATAGCACTTACTAGACAAACGCTCTAAGCTTTCAATCAATTACAAACGACTCATATATATGACAATAATAAGACCTATTTGGACTTACGGAACTGAGCTTTGGGGCTCCACTAAACCATCGAATTCCTCTCGTATCCAATCCTTACAATCCAAAATCCTTCGTAAAATCCTCAACGCTCCTTACTTTGTCACAAATAAAATCATCCATAAAGACCTTAATGTTCCATATGTTTCCGATTTGGCCCAATCCAGATACCTATCCTTCCATAATAAACTGCAGAACCATCCGAATCCTCTCGTTTCAAACCTTGCTTCCTCCTCGATCCCTGATAACCCTCCGAGGCGTCTGAAAAGAAGATGGCCTCGGGACCTTCTAATATAGAACTTTAATTTGAGTTTTACCAATGGGTAGTCTCTCTTCATGTTGTACATGTCATGTTACTAATGTCACGTTTACTTTTTGTTTATATATATATATATATATATATATATATATATATATAATATATATATATGTATATATATATATTATATATAATATAAGTGCATAAGATCTCACATCCTTGTCAAATGTTAGTAAGGAGTTTAAATATCGCTGGTCGTTATATGATTCTTAAGGTGCATTTAGACATTTCACATATTATGGGAAACACATTAATCTAACTTAACTATCAGCGGCAGTATTGCTAAACCAAACTATTTATTGTATTTCTCTTCATAGCAACAGCAGAAAGAAAACGTTAAAAACAAGAAACAAAAATACTAGCTTTGTGAAATAACAATTTATATATTTGTTTGTCTCATAGTTTCTGAAATGTCTAAACGCACCTATATTATATTTAATAACTACCGATACTATTTGAATTTCCCATAGTTTGCGACGCACCTTTATAAAGATTAAAAATCTATAGAAATTTTTCCCGATATATCGATAAATTTTTTCGATACATCGAAATACAATCATGATATATATGGATCATATCGAAACGAAAATTAAGTTGTTACCAATAAAATATCCGATGTAAAATTTTCAATTAGAGGAAATTACAGAAAATGTTTTTCCGCATAAAGAGACTTTAAAATATAAGCAAATAATGTTGAATTGACATTTAATATTATTTTACTGTAAGCTTACTTATTTTTATCTTAAGGATTATACTCTTACTGAATGAAAGTAGCTTAAATTAAATCCTGTTAACATAGAGATTTTGTATTAGGTTAAGATTTAATATATCTATTTATTTGAAGTATTTTGATATTTCACGTTTTTTACCTTTGGTAAGGTTTGAATAAACATCAATTAATACGTGAATTGAATAAATACTTATGTCGAAAGATAAAATGTAATAACTTTTTAAAATACCATGCTAGAAATGAATGTGTGGATCATTCCAAATATTTGTTTAACATTTTAATATTTCTTATGATGCAAATTCTTCTTTTCACCATCTTATGGTTCTATCCTACGGAAAATAACTATTTCAATTTTCTTCGATTTCAGTTCAGCAGCTTTTGAGGAAAATAAAGTAAAATAAATTGAGACAATTTTTATGACGAAACCTTAATCATTTTGGAAAAATGTCGGTTTTTTGTAAAGTTTAAACTTTTTCAGTATACTTTTCTTTTACTTCGGTGTCATATATTATTTAAGTTTTTAATTAAAAAAGCCATTGGTTTATAAATATAACTTTTATTTTCCAACCTTTAACGGAATGACAATGTTTCGGCTCATTGAGCTATTTTCAATTCTAACATGTTTTAATTTTTTTTCGTTTCTTATATATTATGCCGCGTTCTTTTAAATAAGAAACGAAGAAATTTAAAACATGATAGACTTTAAAATGGCCCAATAAGCGGAAACGTCATTCCATTAAAGGATTGGAAATAAAAATAATATTGGTGTACTAATGGCTTTTTGGAGTTTATACACTATTTGAGTTGAAACCATGTTAAAAAGAGTTGAGAATAATTAGAAATAAAGCCATTCTCGATTAAATAACATATTTTACTTTCTCATTTATGTTTTCGACGACATTAATAAAACAATTAATTAGTTATATGTATAAAATAGATATTATTTTTAGGAATTTTTAAAATACAATTATTTCGCATATACGCTACCCTCATAGTATAAATTCGTCAACCTCTTTTCAAAACCAACTAATTTATATAGCATATATACCTGGGTTTGAAATCGATAATTATTCTTTTCACAAAATCATGTAATAATTATTATATTTGATTTTTAATTTAAAAATCATGCCTGACTTATAAATAAAATTTTAAATCAATCTTTAATGTTTATTTAGTCGATTAAAAATTATGATCACTCACTGAGTGATACGGTTTTACATTAAAAAGAAAAAATAGAAAAATAATTTTTATCATAAAATAAAAGTAATCTTTTTCACACAAATTAAATAAAATATTAATATGTGAAATAAAATGAAAAAATAATTTTATTCTGGGACTACTGTCCCCTAAGAATAATAACAGAGTTACAAATTTATGGATCTTAGTCTGACATAATAAAAATACAAACTAATTTACTGTTAATTGTTATTTCAACTGTGCAATGGATTGAAATTAAACATTGTATAGATGCAAGTAATTTTACATGTTAGGGGAAGTTTGAATGTGGAGTAGGTGGTGGAACAGGAGTTGTTTGAAGGAATTTGTAGACGAGGATTGACGCATGGAGGTAGGAAATGAGTTCCATAAGGAAGCAGTACGAATGAGGAAGGATTTGCTGAAGGAGTTTTATGGGAGGGAATATATAGGTCTATAGGTTGAGCTTGATATTGAGAGTGGATTGCGGAGCGTAGAGTAAGGAGTTCCAGGGTGTAGGGAGGGTTTTTGGATCTGAAGACTTGGAAAAGGAAAATACCTAGGAGGAATTGTCGTCGGGAAGTAGGATAAAGCCACTTCAACTCGGTGTACCAGAGTGAAACATGTAATTTAATGCCTGAGGATCCGAAAAGTGTATCTTATGAAACAATTCATGAGTCTCTTTAGTCTCATTTCCTAATATGTATGTATACGTTATTAATTTACACCTTTTTTAATATTATATTTCTGAAAGCGCTTTAATTGTACACGCCGTACGTGCATTACTTTTTATTTTTTTTGTAAATTATAATTTATATTAAATATTGGAAATAAAAACGTTTTGTTGCTAATAGTTGACAACAATATTCTCCAGTACTATTAGTCGAGACACAAAATATATCTTAGAGATTAGGAAAAATGTTAACGTTAATAATTTAAAAAAGAATTGTTATTATTGTTAATTGTTAACAGAGAAAAATAATGATCAGAATATGATTTTTATCACTTATGATCAAAAATAAAAATCACTCTTAATAAAAATCATCAAATGATTTTTAAAATTTTTGATCAGATTTGATTTTAATTTTTAATTATCGATTTCAAATCCTGATATATATACATATAACCATCCATTTATTTAAATTTTTTTTAGAAAATTATATTATTATTTATATCATCATTATTAATTGTATGTTAATAAAATAATTACGAATCTTATATATATATAGTATTAAATATGTGTATGAAATAATGGTTTATAAAAAATCGGGTCTTATTTCAGAAAATGCTACAAAGTGTTTTAAATAATATTTTTTATTCGACTTTGATTAATTTTTGCTCATTCTTTAACTTGCCGAATCCAATCCTGCTTTCGTCCATGTCGAATACTGTATAGAAATTCTTGATAAATGTATGGCCCAGTATCCAGGTATTGTTGGGTAGGTTCATGCCCATGAATCCACTCAGACAACTTATTCCATCTTCAGAGGTTACCTGCAAAAGTAAACATCTCCACGTTTTCGTTTACGTATATACATTTACAGATGTATAATTTATATAATTGGACAATCATCAATTTTAAATATTAACACATAGAGATATTTCTAATGATAAGCTGATCTCATAGAATCAGTATTCAAGTTCGTTGTTGGTAAATTGAACTTATTGTTAGAGAAATTGAACAGCATAAAAACCACTTGAAATAGTTTAAGCAAGACAAACTCTGGTTATTTTTAATCGATCTGTCATTTTATTAAATCATGACAACTCCGACATTCACGTCAAAGATCTTTTGTTGTAATTTCATTTGAAGCCAAATCTAATTCACCATTACGTCATTTTCATCCCATTTATTGACTCAATAAGTTTCTTCTTTTTCTTGTTACTATAAAGTGTTGGAAAAAAAAAACATGGTTTTGTTCTGAAAACAGATCAAGACTTCATTTGCTGAATTATGTTCATAGAAACTTTTTACGGAGGGGCACTTTGTGTGTTTATTTTATATGTTTAATTAATAATTATACATATGTTTAATTAATGTATATATATAGGTATATCGGTTTATGGCCAAAAGTCCGTTTTCGTGAATTTCGACCTTTCTTATCGATACAAGAACACTTTAGGAGCGTCTAAATAACCTAAACTCTTATATTTATCAGATATAATTACGAGTGCAGAATACTCTCATTGCAGAGAGGGAATATTGAACAATGTACTTAGTGATCGAATTTTATGAAATGTTACTCAATAAATTTTGGCAATAATCCAACGATATATATATATATATATATATATATATATATATATATATATATATATATATATATACAGGGTGTTCCGGAAGTATAGGCACGTTTTTGTTATTGTTATAAACAAATGTTTGCATCATTATTTTTAACAATATTTTTTTTGTAAATGAAAAGTGTGTTTAGGTATTTATGTTTATTACCACACAACGCATGGTCATGTGAAAAAAAAAATTAAAGCTTTGCAATCATTTACTGCAGTCATTTTTGCTGAAAAACAAGAATAGTTTTAGGTGACAGGATAGAAAATCACCTAACTTTTTTGTATAACTAGAGATAAATCTCAACTTTTTTTCTTAATAAACCTCAACTTAGTTAAGACTTAGAGATTTTTAAATGATGAAGTTTTTTCTAAAAGTGGGGCAACTGTAGTGTAGTTGTAGAATGATGAAAACAATTGTAAATAATAATTCATATTTTTTAAATCAGAGCTTAGCTTTGGCATTCAAAAATTCTTTTTAAATTGTATAATAATGATAAACTTTGCATTAATTTTAATTCAATTTTGTCTATTTTACTAAAGAGCAATTGTTTAATAATTAAATTAAATATGTTTTAATTATCGCTTCATATTCGACAAATATCGTGACTAACTTTAAAAAAACACAAAACTTAAATTCCAGATTTCTGCTGAAAATTAGCCCATTGTTTATATAAACATTCAGTTCATACCTTAAATACGTAGTCTTCTCCTTTTAATTGGAAGTCCTGTCCATTTATTGTAAAGATGACGGCAGGTAGACTTGCGATGGAATCACAATCAACCTGTTGTTAATTAAAGATAAATCAGGTATAATTATACAATCATATTACATTGATTATAATCTATATTTCGGTGATAAACTATTTTTTTTTCATAAAAGCCCCAGATGTTTGCTCTTGATTCTAAAGTTGAATGTTTAATTGATAAACAAAATATTAAAGTTGAATGTCAGGTAACTTAGAAGTAGTAATATTAATTTCTCATGTATAGTAATATTTTAACTCTCCATCGGTAAACGTATAACTTTGTTCAAACCTCTAAGACAATCTATTTGTCTACTATTGTAGTCTACCCTTGTAGCGTGGTTTTTAATGAGAAACATCTTACAAATTAAATCTACTAATTCTATGTATGGTACTATTTTACTAATATTTCTTAATTATTAATATTAATTAATTATTTACTTACTGTATGAACGCCGCTGATCGCCCTGGTGTCGCCCCCTACCGCGATGTTGATCCGGTGGATGTCACCGATGGGACCAACTATGAGGCTGGTAGCCGTATCCACCGATGCTTGGCAGCCTCCATCGCAGACAGAGGGTCCATCGTCGACTGTCACTCTTAAAGTAACACATAAGTGAAAATACCATATTTTGTATAAATAATTTAACCATTATAACCGTCACAAGTATCTACATTCCACCTGAATTGAACCAAAATCCCAGCTCGAAGGTACATCAGTTGACAGCAAAGGCAATTTAACGTTAATAATGAAACATTTAAACCTCATGATCACTAGCGGATCCAGGATTTAATTTTGGGGAGGAGGGGGCTTCAGCCCGAAAGTTTTTTTTTTTCATAAAAATAACGATAATTACTTTGGAAAAAAAGAAAGAAACTAACTACCTGTATGAAATGGTGTTTAAGTTATTCCTAAAGCCCTTTTAAATGTAATCACACGCATAATAATACTTTAAGAGATACTTTTTAAATATTTTTTTCGATAAAACATGGTTATATTTTACCATTTTGGGGGAGGGGAGGGATTCAGCCCGAAAGCCCCCCCCCCCCGTAGATCCGCCCGTGCTCATGATGATATGAATGAAAAACTCTTGACTACAATTGTTCAAAGTCAACCTAACGTACCCTTACCAGTGACATTACCATCGAAATCAATTCATCCATACGAAGTCCAAAATAGGCAAGCTCTGAATAAAGCTGCTGGATTTAACTTGATTACGAATTTAGTCATGAAAAATTTATCTTGAAAAGCAATCCTTTTTCTAAAAAATATGTACAATTCTATTTTAAGAATTTCCTAATAATACTTATTTATCCATTTTTTCCCAGTCCGCTGGTGTTCCTCAAGGTAGTATCCTAGGTCCTTTCCTTTACACAGTTTATACTGTTGATATCCCAACCTATTCTAACACTGTCATTACCACGTATGCCGATGATACATGTGTCCTATCAGTTAATAACGACTCAACAATTGCATACCAAACCCTTCAATCACACATCACAAACCTTGAAGAATGGTGTCAAAATTGGAGGGTTAAAATAAATTCCAATAAATCCCATCAAATCACCTTTAAGCTTCGTCGTAAACCTATGTCCTCTTGTCCTACAGTATCCTTTAATAATACTCCACTTATCCCTGTTGAACAAATCCGATACCTTGGACTCCACTTGGACAAACGTCTAACTTGGAATCCTCACACCAAACTGAAACGACATGAAACCGCTCGACGTTTCCGACTACTCTAGCACTTACTAGGCAAACGTTCTAAGCTCCCAGTCAATTACAAAAGACTCACATAGATGACTAAATAAGACCTATTTGGTGTTACGGAGTTGGGCTCTGGGGCTCCACTAAGCCATCGAATTCCTCTCGTATCCAATCCTTACAATCCAAAATCCTTCGTAAAATCCTCAGTGCTCCTTACTTTGTCACAAATAAAATCATCCATGACGACCTTAATATTCCTTACGTTTCTGACCAGGCCCAATCCAGACACCTATCCTTCCATTACAAACTTCAGAACCATCCAAACCCTCTCGTTTCTAACCTTGCTTCCTCTTCGATCCCTGACAACCCTCCGAGGCGTCTGAAAAGGAAATGGCCTCGAGATCTCCTTTTGTAAATACATTTTTATAGTGCTACCAGTGGGTAGTTTCTCAACAAGTGGTTTCATTTTATTATATTCTTTTGTTCACATTTACTGAATGTATTTTTATTTGTAATCAGTTATAAATATCATCAATAAAAAAAATGAATTTCCTATTTCCCGACCCTGTGGAAATATTCTGAAGTAGTCTTGGTATTAAAAACTAATAAATCGTAAGATTCTTCAAATTCCAATAGTCCGATCAGACTTCTTCCTCCCATTTCTAAATTATTTGAAAAAATTCTTAATCATACACCTTCCCAAGGGTCCCCAGAAGAGGGTTTTATGGCGCAAGTTGTGCCATATTTTGAACTTTTGATGTACACATTTCAATGAGGTTATGAGTTTTCGGAATGAAAATTGGAGAGAGGGGAAAGAAAGAATAGGTTCTTGCGCCATCGACCTCGAGGAGGATGGGCACTCCTATCACCTTTCCCCAAAATATATTTCAACAATATTGGAACTCCTATTTCAAATAATATTAGATATGCGGGTTTTTATCTAGATGGAAGGCTAACACAAAGGACTGACATTAGACAAAAACATATGGAAATAAACAGATGATGTGATCTTTTTTTCCACGTTACTTGACAGAAGTTCAAAAGTATCTTTAATTAGCAAAATAACCCTCTCTAAAGTTTTACTAAAACTAATTTGGACTTACGGTATAGAACTGTGAGATTTTGCTAAAACTTCCAACATTAATATAATTCAATCCTAGTCTAAAATGTTAAGGAGGACAGTCGACGCATCGTTCTTTTCCGCAAATGTACTAATACACAAGGACTTAAACATCTCGACAATTGTTAACACTGCCAAAGACAATTACAAATTTCACCAAATACTGGTATACAACATGAATCCACTAATAGAAATCTTTTTTTTTTATTTTAAGGCTCAACCACTAGGGTAAATATTGCCTTATTTTCATCGAGAATTAGATTGTATTTTCAAGTTTAGAACATTTCAGAAAAGAGAATAATTTATGAATTTCATTCGTATCGTCCTGTAAAATGAACTGTAGATCGTTTGTCAAGTCACAAGATAGTCTAAATGTTTCGTAAGCTCTGCATCCTGTTAAAATGTGTTTCACTGTCAGAGGAATCCCACAGGTTTGGCATGTTGGCGAAGATCACGGGTCATCAGGTAACTATGAGTAAGACGTGTATGACTTATACGCAGACGCGTAAGAATTACTTCCTTAAACAATGTCAACAAATTCTTACAGAGATCCTTAAACGCACAGCCTACTACGACGATTACGTAGACGGTGACCAAGAGATCTACTGAGATAATTTATATCCTGCGATGGGACGCTGTGAAGTCGTTAACACATTGCAAAGTAATTGGCAAATTAAAGTTTATGTCAGAATTTTACTTTTGATTAATAAATGAATAATAATCAAATATGAAAACAAAAATAAATAATTAACCAAGCCTGAAACCATAGAAGTCATAAGGTTTAGATCAAGGATCTCAAAAATTTCAGACAAATTACAACACTGAGCCCTCCACTAAGTCTAAAAGGCCAAGACAAACACACTCATATAATTAATTACAATTCAAAGTTCAATTTGATTGTGTATGTCAATCATAGAGTTTATCAATTCTTTGTTACAAAATAAAATCTGGTTATTATTTCTATGATTTATTTATGAGTAATGAAACTAATATATGGTGATTTTAGAACTGATTTTAGATATAATATGGCGCCCGTAGTTTATGTTGAACACAACCGTAGTTAAGTTAAAAACATCTCAGAAGTTAAAAGTTCCTATGAAAATTGGAGATGAGATGCATGTAGCCCGGGTGATTCTTGTGGATGGAATCTGGATGATTGACTTCACTTGTGTATTTCATGTTCATAAAATGGATTTCAAAAGAAAGAAAAATGTCAAAGATAATTTCAAAATATGAGCATTCGCTATAATGATGGTACAAATTAAATAATTGTATGTTTCATAGATTTTATTTAATACCGAATAAAAAATGAAGTTCAAAAATAAATTGTTACAAAACCCTCAGTTCAAAGAAAGAAAAGCTCAGGATAGAGAGAAGTGGAGGCGAACTGTTCAGAGGCCAAAGGTCACTTGGAGTGTAAAGTCACATTAGTCAGTAAATAATCAGATTTAAAAAATATTATATACCTATCTATTGCAATCTGCCAGTGGTGCTTCTTGGTAACTGGGGAATACCTTAAAGTAGTTTTCTCAACGATTTCTTCGTCTATTCCTCCAAATAAAATCTCTCCGGCATTGTTGTCTGAGACATTACTGGAACAATTTGCATTGAGGCTTAATTGTAGATGAAGTATAGTCAGTATAATATAATAATAAATAATATTTCAACCAATATTCAGAATGAAGGGGTTAAAGGCGCTTTAAATATAAAGCTTGCCTGGCAAGTACGTGCCGTTAAGCAGGAAATTTTAATTAGTATATTATTTGGACTTTATCTTGGGTCTAACATTAGTTCTCACTAAAATTTATTATTTTAGTTGTGTCTCTTTAATAACAAAAAAAAAAACTACACAAATGACATGGTGTTTTAGTGATTCTTGAAGTCCTATTAAATGTAATCACACGAACAATAATAGTTTAAGAGATAGTGTTTAACACTAGTGGATCCAGGATTTAATTTTGGGGAGCTTCAGTCCGAAAGATTTTTTTTTCATAAAAATAACGATAATTACTTTGGAAAAACAGAAAGAAACTAACTACCTATATAAAGTAGTGGTTAAGTGATTCATTAAGTCCTTATAATGTAAATTTGTAAATTTTTAAGGGTAGCACATTTTTACAGGGTTGTACACTTTTGAGAGGGCAATGAATTTTTTAAGAGAACAAACCAAAGAACATGGAAAACAACTAAATTACAATCTTTATAATTTTACTTTTATATGACCAATATTTAAGAAGAGAGGCTGAAAAAAGGAGGAATTGGAATATATGAAAATAACTATATTTTAATATGTCCCAAAGGTTTTCAAAGAGTATAGATAACATTGATACAAGAATCAAGCACCTTACCTCTTGAGATAAAACGAAAAAACACAATGTCCGTGACCTTGTTGAAATATATTTTGAATCGGTGTCGAAACATCTCTCATTGCTGGACTCGGATAACCGAGGCCTACAATTCCGTCGAAAAGGGTATTGCATGCAAAGTTCTTTTTAGTAACTTCGATGAATGTCTGATTTTCTATGTTCATTCCAGCCAACTGAAAAAATAAGAAAAATAAATAAAAACTTAATTTTATGATTTAGACTATTTTACTTAAACTTTCATCTAACCTTAAGATAAGATAAGTAGGACTAATAAATTGCTGATAAGATTGTCATAGAGAGCTTACGAAGCTGAATGGTTTTACAAATATTATTACAGATTAAATGTAGTTACAAGACCTCGAGATTATCTGTTGACAGAAATCCTTTTAATCGTCCAATAGCGTACTGCAATGATACCATGGTTCCGTTCTTAGTGAAAGTTGACGATTTTTCACTGGAGTATTTTCGATGATTCCCTAAAATTAAAATTTTAGTATTCAGTCAAAAAAAAAAAAAAATACATATTAAAATGACTCTCACAACCATGGATAATAATGATAAATTTATCGATGACAGCATAAACAAAAATAAAAAAATAATAAACTCGTCATATAAGTTCTAATAACACCCCTTATTCTAATATTCGTCCAAAGTTGAAAGAAGCTAAACAAAATTTTGTTGCTCTTGATCTTCTTCTTATAATTTATATCATATAAAAAAAAAATAGCCTTGTATTGAAAAAAAAATTTAATATTTGACATATTAATGGTTACCATTCGATAGGACGGGAAGGAACGAATCCAGCTAGCTACCTAACTCACTATCGTCATAAATTTACTTAGACAACTTTAAAACGTATATGACGAATATCTGTTTGGAAAATTCGAAAACCTTATTAAGTTTTCAAATCACCAAGGCTTTACCAATTCTTGCATATTCAGAATATAAAAAGATAAGATTACATGAGCGCAACGTAGGTAGTACACCTCACTTCAAAGGTCTAAATAAACTAACGAAATAGAGATATTAAATTTCTTACCTGCGATTTTGGGATATGTTTTTTGGATCTGATGATGTCTGAACAGCCAAAACGTTGACTGTTTAGTTGATTACTAATATTTGAGATACTTTAGGTTTCATAAAATAATCTCTTAACAACCTTAGAATTTAAATAAATAGTAAGGACTTACTGCAAGCCATATCCTGGCATTTGTTGGATAGAATCCATGAATTCGACGAACCTGTATCGAACAAGACTTTGAAACGTTGGCTAGGAGTTCCGAGTCCTATTTCACCATAGTAATGGATCTGAGCAGAAATTTTCGTCAGTAAATATAATTTGTAATGAATATCATTCAAATATTTATAAATCTCACGTTTTCATAATCCTTGAGATAAACAATACCTCCTTGATCCAGACGATTTCTTTGCGATTTCAAAATCTTCAGATGCCTTTCTAGACCACGGATATGTGAGATTTCTCTTCCTTTATTTAATGAGATCCTGTAAACAACTTCATTATAATTAAATACAAATTAGTCATATCAATTACCTTTTAATATGGCGATTCTAAACTTATAGAATTACACACACAACAGTGACAAACTCAAGATATGAAAATGTATTAGGTTCAAACCACCATTGAGATTTCTAAATCACATAATAGTGGTTGGCAGAGAAAAAAAGTTTTTTTTATTTAAGTTACGTTTATGTATTTTACAATCCATGTGACAAACAAATATATAAATGTTTATTTCACTATGCCAGTATTTTTGATATTTTCCATCCTCTGTCGGTATCAAGAGAAATAAAATAAATAGTTTGGTTTATCAATATTGTCGCTGTTAGTTAAGTTAAATAATTGTGTTTCCCATAGTTGTGAAAAGTTAAAACGCACCTTAAGAATCATATAAAGCAATATTTAAACTCTTTATCAACATTTGGGAAGGGTGTGAGATCTTTCCGTCTTAGTTCTTCCAAACAAAATCAGATGGACTGACTGACAAATTTAGATACTGAATTGAACATTATTCTTTAGTCTAATCATGGACAATATTTTTCATTAGGTGTATCAGGAATGCCTATCTGTTTGTAGGATGTGCCATAACCAATGGTTCCACATATAGAGGTCTGCCATAACTATACCCATTCCCTCTACCTAACCAACATCACCTTCCAAAAAAATATTTGTTATCCTCCCATTTAAGTCTCTGTCCTCTTATTTGACGATTTTATTCTTTCAATTATAATAAGACTGTGATAGGCTCGCGAAACCTACATAAGCATAAGCAATTAGATTTCATATCCCTTTTATTTATTTAATTTTTTTGTCTTGATTTTGAATGAGTGTTTCTTGTAGGTCTAGAAATCGTTAAATAACATTCAGATAAAAGAATAATTCCATTCAAAGTTCCAAATGGTTAAAATTTATTTTTTATTTTAATCATAAGGAGCTGTTAATACACGCTTTAAAATGATCTCTTAAGAATATATCTTGTAAGGTCAGCAATTCCAACAGGTAAAAGGTATTTAGAGATCATTAATTTCAAATTACAAAATCGAGCTTATCTCAAAGTATAGATGTCAAGCAAAACAAAATTTATTGAAAAATATTTTCAACCTAATAAATGAATGTTTTTTTTTTATGCTTTGTTAAGTTTTGTGCATTCCGTAGGTAATGTCCCATAAGATTTCTAATAATTTGTTGTACTATATTACCTAGTTAACAGTGCTTGGCCTTCCATCACGAAGTAGAAGACCAATAGATTAAGAAATCTAGAAGCCATTATAACAATTTACAGGTAAGTGCGACTAAACGCTACCTACCATTATCCCCTGGTATATATGTTGATTGATTTGAGATAGAGGCAGGAATAACACTCCAATATAAATAATCTAGATTAGCAAGAGATTAAGATGGAAATTATATAAAAGATTCAGGCTAATTCTTTTGGCATTGTTGATTACATCATCAGGTCTACATCAAAATAGACCTGAATTAAATTTTAGGATATTCATATTCTAGCATAATACTAAAAAAGTTCAAGATGACAAAGAAAAGATAGATGTATTATCTGAAATGCCAAGATATCTAAAATAAAGAGGTTGTGTACACTTCACACAATAATTGCAACTACTTAATTGTGAAACTTAACTTAGGCAACTAGCAAATGATTAAAAAACTGTCCTCCAAAACTAGTTACATACATTTATTGAGATGTCATTTACCTTATTTTTATGTTGGCTTCACTGGTAAAATATTTTAATTATTATTTTATTGAAATTCTATATGAGAAATGTTTCTAATTGAAGAACTTAGTGGAAAATCATTTTGGTGGGATTTTGGCTTGAAAGTATATTTTGAATACTTCTATCCACAGAGCATCATGTTTAATTTTTCTAAAGCTTGAATATTGGTATTGTTGGGAGTTTGAAAATTGAGTAAATCAGCTCTCCCTTCCCCCCTTCAAAGGTTGTAATGTCAAAAACACCATACATGTATAAAAATGAAATATAATATAATATTATAATATAAAAACATTAAAATGGAAAGTTTATATATATAATATAAATTTTAATTAAGATCAATAAAAATAAAAAGAAACAAGAATTTATTAAAAATTGAGATTTTGAAGATTGTACTTAAAATAACTGTTAAAAGGTAGCAGTACCAATCTGGAGTGTCTCTGTGTAGACCCATCTGTCTTACAGTGACTTAATAATACTATTAAGGCTTAATAATATTATTAATATTATTAAGCCTTAGTAGGCTGTAGGCTATCTGTTTTTCTAGGAATCTCTAATGGCTTTCATCCTAACTATGTGCTCTTGTTCTCACACAGTTATTTGGATGACATGGCGCCCACACATCACCGCCTAGCAAAAGACACTAAATCAACGATTTCGGCTATTACAGTCCCTACTAGGACGTTGATCAAAACTAGACCTAAGACAAAAATTTAACATTTACATTTGCTTACTAAAATCAATTTGGCCATATGTCTCACAAATATATGGAATCGCTAAAAAAAAACAAAAAAAAAACACACATTCAGAAACTACAAATATTTCAGGCCAAAACTTTCAGAACAATTACTCAAGCCAAGGTGCTTGTTAGTAACATAACTCTCCACAAAGACTTATGCATGCAAACGATCACTGAACAGATACATACTTATTACAAATGGTTTCACAATAAGCTTTATGGTCACCCCAATAGACTCATCCAAGATATGGCTAATAAAAACATCCGCAGAAGGCTGAAAAGGAGTTGGTTTAGAGATCACCACTATTATGACCGAAGATTAGCCACTGAGTTTTTCTCTTCCTCGTACCTATCATGCCCTTTCTTCTAGTTTATTTATATATAGTAATCTCATTCATGGGTTGTCTGTAAACATTGACAGTTGTGAATTAAAATTTGTTTAAAATGTGTTTAAACAAAAAACCTTTAATGCTAAAATGTGTTTCACAGCTTATTAATTAATCATTTTTTGAGCTTAAATAAGTTGGGAAACAAGCCCAAAAGACAGAATGGTTGGGAGCTACTTCATTAGAGAAACTAAATCCTGTTAATATATATAAACTATTATTTAATATGTAACTTATGAAAAATTTGACAATATAATATTAATAATATTATTATATTGTCAATATATATATATATATATATATATATATATATATATATATATATATATATTTTTTTTTTTTTTTAAATATACAAAGGTACTTTTTAATTATTTTCTTGAAGGAAAATAATCATTTGAAGATATAGGAGCTTTCAAATATTATCATTACTTTTGTTTGCTTATGTTCACAACATCAGAATTTTTCTAAAATCCTTTAATTATAATAGAAAATTTGTATATCATCATTTTGAAATTTATTTCTTAAATCCGTGTCATTCTGCAAATCTATTAATTCCATTTAGTAACTCATCTGAAACTGTTTCAACACCTGAAATAAATGGTGAAGAAAAAATGTTAAAAGGTTACGGACGAGGATTCACCGATTTAAATGAAAATTTTTTGGTAATACTGGGTCAAAAATATAAGACCCATGTCCAAGGATCCTAGCCAATGCCCTGTTAAAATAATTAAAATTAGATTAAAAATACAGTTATTATAAAGTTGTTTTCTTTTATTTGGTATCGTACTAATGACCTTCCTATTTTTATTCCAATAACAGTTAAAGTGTGAAATTTTAAAACATAAATCAAAGGTTATACTACATCATTATCTTTTATACTTGTTTATAAATTTTACTTTGGTCATTTATGTGGAACATTTGTGTTTATTCTTTTTGAATTCCTTTTGAGATAGTGTGACAATTGGATTGATGAAATCTTGTACAAGAGGGAAGACTTTACTCTGGGTCTCTAAAAGATTCATGGGGGGTAAGACTTTTCTGGTGATTTTTTTACTAATGTAGAATGTTATATGTTTCCACTCATGGATTCAGTCTCTATATGTCATAATTTTGTATAGAAAATGATGCATGTTAACGTTTTTGCTCAACTGTGAAACTAGAGAATGAAATTATTAATTAAGTACCTCTTCAGTGTTCCATTTGTTTGAATTATTATTTTTTTTCAATTTCTAATCAATGCAGTATTCACTCCTTAATTTAAATAGGACTTGAATTACTTCCTCTGTTACTGTAATAATTCTCCTGAAATAATCAAAAGAGTTATTCTTTACTTAGTACCATCTATATGAGTTGTCAACTTTAAATCTTTTCACCATTACTATGTGGCTTTGCTGTTTTATTTGAAATGAACCCATCAACTAGTAAGTTGTAAATTATTACACATAAAACAGATATCGCTATTTTTATTTAATGAATGAATTAGAGATAAATCCAAGCCATCTTTATATTCAAGTGGTCTATTGCATTGCATTATTTAAGAAATATCAGGTATCTAAAGAATGCCTGAACATAGCAATAGGGTTGATGTTTTCTTTATTGTTTATTATAATGGCAATACAATGGAGAAAATAATAAATTCATAAGATGTGTTCTATTATATTTTTATTTAAAATACGTGTACTTTATAAGGGTCTTTCAAAACAAATAAGATATTATATATTCATATTTAAAGAAAAAAAAATGAAGATATACAAAAACAAAGCAAACAAATATTTAATAGTTATACGAAAATAGTTTAATATATTATATTATATAAGTTTTCACAGAACAATGTGTTGAACATTTCATGCAGGTATTTTTTTCACAGTTCCAAATACACATTAAACAGAATTTTGGAAATCTTCAGGTTACAAGTTTTAAAATTCCTTGAGTACCGTAAACTTTAACTTTTTTTTCAGTTCATTATTAAAATCTAAATCTTCAGTATTATCAAACATTAAATATTACAAAACTAGGAATTTAATTTTTGCTTAAATACTACAAGAGTTAACTACATATAAATTTTTCAGTTGTGTATAATATGTTTACAGAAAATTAAAATAATTAATTTCACAATTCGAAAATGAAACAGTTTTTCAAATCAATTGATATTAAACAAAAAATAGATGTTGTTTCATTAACTACATTATCATAGTTCAAAAATTCTACCATAATATGTGGTACATAGGTAACAATTGTGTATTTAGTTCAACAAAAGCTAAAACTAAAATATAATTTGTATATTGTATATATTGTATATAAAACAGAACTCTATGAAAGCATTAGAATTAAGAAGAAAAATGAATTTATTGTTATCAGTCCTCAATATTTCTCTGGTTTTGACTGAAGTTTATTGGACTGCTCTCTGTGTGGCAAACTGAATCTTAATCTCCATCACCTCTATTATTTCCAACAAAAAAAATATATATATATATATTCGAAATAATAATTATTGAGATTATTAGGTTGTATTTTTTCAAATGGGTAAAATCTTGAAAAGGTTCAAAACCTTTGCTATTGAATTTTAAAATTAAATATTATGATCAAGAAATCAAATCTTTCTATCACTTTCTGCTTCAATTACTATCTAAATCCAAAAACCTATTAAAAAATATTACTATTTGCTTCTTGGCATTGGAAAATTTTTTCACTCATGATATGCGCATCCTTCACTAAATCTCTCTCAGCCTATTTCTGTTAGCATTTAGTATGTTCGTGAGATGGTTGCGGTAAAAGCGTTATAGGAGAAATAATTTTCCTTCACTCGTGGAAGGGGAGTTCCAAGGCTGAGCAAACATGTGTATTTAAAATTTATCAAAATAAATCAGTTTTATTTAAAGTTATTCACCCATGATGTAAGAGCACAGTCCTCTAATATAGTCTAATATCACAGTGTTTAATCATTTGATACTAGGAATATCATATTTCACGAATCATCTGTAATTGTTTTTTAAATGCCCATTATAACCTAGTGAAATCAAATTATTCTATTAGAAAATTATTATTTTAATCATCAGAAAAACATAAAATGTAGAATTTTTTTTAATTTTTTTATTGATGATATTTACAACTGTATTACAAGTAAAAATACATTCAGTAAATGTGAAAAAAAGAATAAAATAGCATGAAATCACTTGTTGAGAAACTACACACTGGTAGCACTCTAAAAATGTATTTACAAAAGGAGATCTCGAGGCCATCTTCTTTTCAGACGTCTCGGAGGGTTGTCAGGGATCGAAGAGGAAGCAAGGTTGGAAACAAGAGGGTTTGGATGGTTCTGAAGTTTGTTATGGAAGGATAGGTATCTGGATTGGGCCAGGTCAGAAACATAAGGAACATTAAGGTCGTTAAAAATGTAGAATTAAATGTAATATTTACATATTTCTTTACTCAAACATGGAAGAACATTTTTATGGCATCTATGACTTCATGTAGTAAGCTCATTTTTACAAAAAAAACAAAACATATACACTCCT